AGATATTTTCTCAGTGGTAAAACATGTTTCTATAAGGATACTGCTATCTATTGTGGTAAACAGAGACTACGAGCTAGAGTAGATGGATGTTAAGATAGCTTTCCTACACGGGTCTCTAGAGGAAAGGATTATAATGGATCAACCTGAAGGGTACATTAAGCCAGGGGATGAGAACAAGGTCTGTCTACTAAGGGAGTCTCTCTACGGCTTAAAGCAATCTCCAAGACAGTAGAATCTACGGTTTGACAGTTTTATGAAAAATGAAAAGTTCCTAAAGAGCAAGTATGATTCATGTGTATATCTAAGAAACGTCAACACTCCTAAAGCCATCTATCTACTGCTATAAGTTGATGACATGCTAATAGCGTCAGGTGATTTGGTTGAAATACAAAAGGACTAAGGACAGCCTAAGCAGAGAGTTTGAGATGAAGGATCTGGGGAAGGCTTCTAGGATCTTGGGTATGGATATAATTCGATACATGGAGAAGGGGACTTTTATCATATCACAAGAAAATTATATTGAAAAGGTTCTTAAGAGTTTTGGAATGGAAGGGGCTAAGCCAACCTCAACTCCGCTGGTACCTCAATTCAAGTTGAAGAGTTTAACCAAGGAGGAAGCTATGGCGGAAGCTTCAAGGATGGAGAACATCCCTTATGCGAGTGATGTGGGGAGCCTAATGTATGCCATGATAGTCTCCCGACCAGACTTAGCTCATGCAGTGGGAGTGATGAGTCGATTTATGAGTAAACCGGGAATGGATCATTGGCAAGCAGTGAAATGGATCCTAAGGTTTTTACGGGGAGAATCTAAAACATGTATACTTTCATCAAACACTCAGAATGCAAAGTTGAAGGGTTTTCAGATTCAGATTACTCAGTAGATTTAGATAAAAGACGTTCAGTTACATGATATGTTTTCAAAGTTTGGGGAACCACAGTATCATGGAGGTCTAATCTACAATCAGCTGTTGCTCTTTAGACAACTGAAGAAGAGTATATGGCACTCTCCTCAGCAGTCAAGGAAGCTATTCGGCTAAAAGGCATTTGCAAAGAATTGGCTCTACAAATTGACAGGGTTAAACAACATTGTGATTCACAAAGTGCTCTGGCTCTAGCAAAGAATTATAGTTTATCAGGAAAAGACTAAACACATTGCAAACAAGTATCACTTCATCCGTGATATTGTTGCTCAGGGTGATGTTGTTCTACATAAAATTCACACAAGCAGGAATCCAGCAGATTTTCTGACAAAGGTGTTACCTGGTACAAATTTCAGGCTGTGTTCTAAGCTAGTGAATTTGTTCTGAGTTTTGGCTCGGCTTCGGGTAATGGCGTGGCTATGGTGTTGATCTTTCACCTCGCAAGACAGAAAGAAATGAGTTAGTTTTATCACTTCTTATATAATTAATCATTTCGGTTCTAAGTTTCAACACAGTGTTTACCGAGAAAGAAGTCATGACACGAGTACTGGAAGCGAGGTGGAGTGGTTACGGGTCATGGGTTTCAGGTGGAGTCTCTTCAGGTTTCCTGAAACAGAAAGGAGATCTGAGTCAGTAAGTACTAAGTGAGCTATCAGGTCATGCAAAATAAATTTTTGTACTTCAACAAAAGAAGAGAGGTATGTGGAGGCTTATCTGATCTTTGTTGCGGTTAAAGGTGAAGTCTTTTGATGTCAGGATGATAGATCAGTAGAGTCGAGACTCAGATCTGGTACATGCAGAAGTTTTTGAGGGTTCTTCAGTTCAGATCAGGGACATGCATAGTCATCGTTAGGTTATCTGAGTTTGAAACCTTCAGAATCTGCATATAGAAGACACAATGATATGTTAGAGAAAGGTTTTATGAGGTTACAACATAAAGAGAAGTTTCCGACAAAAGAAATGAAGAGATTGAGAGGGTACCTTGGGTTCTGATTGGGAAAAAGGTATTTTTCGATCCCAACATTTTCTATCGCGCCTTTTTATACCCAAACAAATCATAAGTGCAAAATCATGCCTAAACTAAGAATTTATTAAAATTTTCGACCCAAACTTTAATCCGTTGTATGAAAACCCACCTTGGGAATCGAACCGTGGTCCCGTGGATATAAAACAAACTTACTTACCACTGTACTACGACATTTCTATTTTTATATTAATAGATTTAAAAGATTTATATTTTGGATTTGTCTATTTACGGGAATAAATATTCTTGTTTATAAATTTTATTTAGTACAAGTTATAATTGCATCAAGAATTTATATATTTTAACTTCTTACACTCTTACAGATGTAATAAACTAAAAATTATATTTCATAAATTATTTAATCTAATTTAAAAATCATATTTTTCAAAGGGCAATTCTCTCAAATAGAATTCTTTAAAAAAAAATTGTCATAAAATCTCTTTAGGTCGTTTTCTACCTACATATAATAGTGATTGTATTTTTTCTTAAAAATCAAAAGTTAAATTTTAAAATAAAAAAATTATTATAACAAAACTTATATTTTAAAATAAACAATTTACTAAGTAAAAACTTAAAAATTGATTTTTAAGAAAAATATATAATCACTATTGTATGTATTAGATAACTATTTGAGAAATGTCATCTTTAAATTTGATTGAATAATTTATGAAATATCTAAATTATTGATGCAATTAAAACTTGTACTAAATACGATTGTAAACACAAATAATTTTCCCTTAGAATATACAAAGCTACAAAGCCAAAATATAAAGCTTTTAAATCTATTAGTGTAACAATAGAAATGTCGTAGTACAGTGGTAAGTAAGTTTGTTTTATATCTGCGGGACCACGGTTCGATTTTCAGGAGGTGCAATTTTTGTAGAATTTTCTCTATTACAAAACGACGTCGTTTTACCAAACATAACGGTTAACTAACGCAGTTTTAGTCAAGGTAGGTTTTCATACAAAGGACTGAAGTTTGGGTCGAAAATTTAAATAAATTTTTCGTTTAGGTATGATTTTGCACTTATGATTTGTTTGGGTATAAAAAGACACGATAGAAAATGTTGAGGTCAAAAATACCCTTTTCCCGGTTCTGGTTACTCTCAGAGTAAGAGGGAGTCGGAGAAGAGATTCAGGAACCGTCGTGGTTGTCTCGGTTTGATTGAGACGATGAACCGCCTCAGACAGAAGCAGACAGACGGGTCGGCTAGGGTTTCGAGTAGAAATGACAACACTTAGTGTTATGTCTGAAAGGTAGAGTTTGTGGATCTAATTCAGACAAACTCCAAGTGGGCTTCTATCTCATGTAGCCTAAACACATTATCTCCCGAAACCTGAAAAGAGAAAACCCAAGTCTCAGTCCAATTGGAATCAATTATCAATACGGCTACGTTTTGGAAACACAAGTGGGGAAAGTTTGTTATAAACAAACTTTTGAATCTCATCATCTTCAACACAACCAAGAGAGAGAAAATAGAGCAGAGAGCCTAGAGAGATAAAGCTGAAACTTAGCTTGGTGATCGTGAGGATGATTATCGACGGAGTTGCAAAGGCGGTACACGGTTGTATCAAACCATTCCAGCAGAGACTATCCAATTTCATAGAGGAAACGATCGGTTTGTTGTTGTTCTCTTGTAAAGCTCTATTTACGTGTATTCTCTATTGGAGACATTGTATCTTGATCGTAATTGATAAGTGAATCACTTGAGGGACTCCGATTCCCTCCCCGGTGATTAGATTAGTGAACACCGGGTGAACAAATCTTGTGTGTACTTGTGTTTTCTCTCATTGTGATATCAAACCTGAAACGAAACAACTCAAATATAAACGCATAGAAGAAGTTAAACCTTAACTATTTGAATCTGATATCTCTACAGGATTGTAGATACTTTCTTATTTCTATAATCAGAAGCTAGATTTGAAGTTTACATACATTCCACAGTCTAACATTTGTTAGAGCCATGACACGTATATGTTTTCATTCTAGAAAGTTTTACCATGTAAAAAGTTCATATATAGCTTTATGGTACATCCCCATAAAGTATTTGACATTTTTTAAAAAAAATTAAAGGTTTTTCACATAGAGATAAACTTTTAAATTATGATTTTTTTTGTAATTATTTTAAAAACATTTATAGCCTTCAAAATTTCAAATTCAGCCATGTATATAGCAAGTGATCAGATTCAGAAGATGGCTAATCGACTATAACAAATTTAATGAAGTGGTCTGGAATTGTATTTCAGCAAACAAGAGAAAACATATATCTGAAACCTCAAAAGGCGTTGTGTAAGAACAAAGTGTGACTTTAAGAAATCCCCCAAGAGGATTTGGCAGCGAGCATGCTCGATGTAGTCCACTGCTCAGTAGATAGAGAGATAATACTATGACAGATTGACAGGTGGTTAACAAAAGAAACAATCATTCCATAAGGTAACCTACTCTTTTGTTAAGCAGGTTCCCTTTTGGGATATGTAACTCTATTTTTGGAAATTTATTTATCTTTTGATCAATTTCGTTGCTCCTCTTCTTATCACACGAGTAGAGTGATAAAAACTTGAAAAGAGATTTTGGCAGTCACGCTTGTAGATGACACGTGTAAAGCAGATACGCCCCCAATTGCAGCAAACAACTCCGTATATCAGAATATGTTTACTACCCAACAAAATATCCTGTCTGCAGTATCAGTAATCATCTGGTCGATGAGATAATCCAACGGTGCAGATTGAATCAGTACAAACCATGAAAACTGCCTGGCTAGAGAGAGAGAGAGAGAGAGAGAGAGAGAGAGAGAGCAACAAACAGTCGACAATAACCTCAGAGGTTCGTATAACAGAATCGTCATCGTTCCTCGTGTTGCCGCCTTCTCTCCCTCCACCCAATCAAGAAAATCCACGTGTCAATATTCTCTTTTCATGTATAATATTCACCCAATCACCAGAAGCTACGTATTGTCATCTTCCTTTTCATCCTCGTGTTCTCTCTGAAAACGGAGTCCGGTTACGAGTTCGACTCGCTCTCCGAGTTACCGCCGCTTCCACAAGTGTACGCTCCCATGGAGTATCATCCTTACGCGCTTGAATCCTTACCTCCGTTTCCTCGCTCCGATTTCACTCCTCACGGCGGCTTGATTACCTTCTCCGACACGCAACAAGACTTTCTCCACCTCCAACAACAACAACACTGTCCAGAATCGATGTTCACAGACTCGCCTCTCTCACTCCTCACTCGCGACTACCTGACCGAGTCGACTCGGCTCAAAAACCTCTTCTCCCATGACGCACCGTTTCTCCACTTGCCAGATCTCAAATCCGTGGAAGACGCGAAGTCTCCTCCGAGACAGCGTCATGTCGGCTCGCGAGTCAACGACACCTTCTCTAAACCTCAGTGTGTTCACGGTTCTAAGACGGTGTCAGAAAGAATCAGATCGTTGGAGAAAATCATGCCGTGGGAGACGAAGATGAGTTTAGCGAAGACTCTCGAGGAAACGCACAAGTACATCACGTATCTTCAGTCTCAGATCGCTTCTCTTCGTTGGATGCCTCTCGAATCCGTCTACCCAACCCACCCCAGGGAACAGGACGTAGGTGGAACCAACGCTCTGCTCAAATCTCTGACGAGACAACAGCTTCTGCAGGTGATTGCAAACTCTCCAGGCTCACGAAACGTGCTCTACACGCGACGCGTTTGTGTCTTCTCCTATGAACAGCTACTCTCCGTCAGGATGATGGCTGACTCGGCAAGAAACCTCTAAAAAAGTGACAACAACTTCCTCTGTTTTTTTTTTTAACCTTTTGCTAAATGATCATAGAAAAGCTACATAGCGTTTTAATGGGGTTTGAACTAATGTTCTTCCTTCCTTTGTTCATTTTCTTATGCTTAAATGGTAATAGAAAATCTACATTGCGTTTTAATTGAGTTTGAACGCTAAACGAAAACGATTTCATTAAACAGAGTACAAAAGCAACACAACAATATCATTAAAGAAAGTTCCCAACGATTTTAAGAAACCAGAAAATCATTTAACGGACTTCATAGCGGTGATGGCAGACGCAATGAGCTCACACTTGTCCTTGCACGCTTCAAGATCCTTGATGAACAAAGCCTTGCCTCTTTCATTCAGCTCCTTGGCCTTCTCATCTCCGATAAGCTTAGCTCTCTCATACACATAGTACTCTGGAATCAAACCTTGAGCGACACTGGTGCTCAAAAAACTCTTCAAATAAGGATAACGGATCCAAAACTCATCCTCCTCCGCCTCTTCGCTACGTTTCGTCTCGGTTTCTGTTACAGCAGACGAAATCAGAAGCTGAAGCAGAGAGAGTTTCTTAACGATCGATAAGAGTAGAATACAAGGAGAGAGAGAGAGAGAGAGATATTATTACCTCTTGCAGTGGTGATTTCCGAGTTCGACGATTCGGCTTCCACTGATGCGTCGTCTTCTTCCATGGATTCGTCTTCGGATGAATAAGAGATTTCGGAGTCGCTGAAGTCTTCATCGGATGATGAATCGGAGTTGTTGAGGAGATCAATAACCGGAACCGCCATTGTTTTTGAGATTTCAAAGCTTGGAGAGATTACAGTTTCTTGGGAGAGAGGAAGGTTGAATTTGAATGAAGTGTGTGTGTGTGTGAGAGAGAGAGAGAGAGAGAGAGAGAGATCATAAATGTATTTTAACTGTAATTTTTTTGTTTGTTAATTTGTTCAGCTGTTGTTGATCGAACGGTTCTTATTTTGAACCAACAATAAAAAAATCAATAACCATATTAAACCGAAACCTGAACAAAGTAATGCAACCGAATTCACTCTAACAGGACGTCTTTTATTTTAAACTACGTGATTATCCGTGCATATGAATATTTATCAAATAAATATATTGTAATATATTCTAATTTATTAATTTACATAGATATTTACTTTTAATTATAAATCAGTTTATAATTTATATGTAGAACTTCAATTAATAATATTAGATTATTTTAATTAGACATATGATTTAATAGATGTTATATTTAATCGGTTAGATTGCTTTTTTTGGTCAATAGTCGATTTGGTTACATTTGTGTATTTTAGATTGCATCTATTTTTCTGAATTCAACTATAATATTTTTCTTCTAAATATACTAAAACTTTAATTATTATTGTATTTAGATTGGTTATCGTCTTATACATGTAAATATATTTTAATAAGATTATGTATAACTTAATATATATTATGTTTATAATGAAATTTAAAATAAACTGAAATTTTGACACAAAATTGTATAAATAAATATAACGATAATTTTCTGAAGTCTCATTCATATATATATATAAATTTTACAAAAAAATGAATTATAACAGTTGGTTAATAATTTTTTTTTCTATATTGATATTTTTGAGTCATCCTGTAATCTATATCTACTACTAATAACAATCTCAATTAATTCCAAAGCTTATGAATCTCTATTAAGTTGAAGAGTTGTGCTTTTTCATTAAAAAAAACTGAAATGATTAGTTGAAGAATTGTATATATTCAAATAGCAATCTCAATTAATGTGAAAAGTTGTAATTCAAAATTAAAATAAAAAGATGTCTTTCCATTAAAACTGAAATATATTAATTTTAGAGTTATATCTTTTCTAAAAAAGTTAAATTCTAATATTAGTTTGAAGAGTTGTATATCTATACTATTAAAACAGAATCTCTCATAGGATTATGTCATTAGTTTTTGAGTTATTTACAAAGAAATGCCATTAACATTTAATTCTAATAGAATTATTATTTATTTAAACTAAAACAGAATATTCCCTATATTTATGCTAAGTAATATTTTCCATATTTTATGAAAGATAATAATTATATTTTCTCTACAAATTATACTCTCTATTTAATTTGAATATCATTTTTTCGTACGCATAATATTATTTAACGTTCGAATATGAATATATACATGAAAGTCTTTTAAAAAATTATTTATTGTGTCATTTGTACATAATATTTATATTCCAGTTTCGAGTATTCAAAAATACTTTAAAATTGATGACTGGATTAAATATTAGATCTAAAAAATAAAAAAATTATCATTGGTTATTACTAACGAAAAGAAACTAATATTGTCATATCAATAATTTATTCTATTACCAATTTTCAGTTTCTTTGAATGATATAATAAATTTTTCATCAAATTATTAGGAATTACAAGTTTTTTTATTTTTATATAAAATTCAAACGTATGAGTTACTTAATGATTTTTTTTGAACTATAAGCAGGTTTTTGGATTTTTAACAGATCATCAGATATCGGATCATGGATTAGTAGCAGATTTTTTAGTTTTTATTGGATTTTATCGAATTATTAGTTAACAAAGGTTACTAAATCTATCGGTTCAACCATAGGTCGAGGTTTGATATAACTACACTGCTTAAAAATCAAATCTTATAAATTGTAATAAAACGATTTTTTTTTGAAATACTAATAAAACAATTTTTTTTTTAAATTGCTTATTTTCTAATACATGTTATAAATTAAATCAATTTTATCAAAATTGTAAAAATATTCCCACTTTAAAGCGCGGATCATATCTAGTTTTCATTAATGTTGAAGGTTGTGTTGTTTCATTTTTACTAATAATAACAATCCCACATTAATTTCAAATTTTGTGAATCTATTCTATTAAAATAGAGTCGTTGTTTTTATCTACCATTAGATAGTTTAAGTATGACAATTTATTTACAAGCCTAACAAATATAAATATTCCTTATAACAATATCACCTTATATTATGGTCCTTAAAAATCACCATTCATTTTATGTATTTCTGAATAATTAATTTTGAAATTAAGAAGTATAGTCCATTTCTTTTAAAAATTTTCATATTAACTTTTTTATATATAACAAAGTAAATAATAAATTATTGGTTATATTTTTCACGTTTTATTTTTATAGTTAAAACAAAAACACAAAACTAAAATATGATACATTAAACAAAATATATTTTCAACATATAATATTAAATAATTTAATATAGTCACATAAAAATAAGCTATCAAATTTTAAACAAAAAAATTACAATTTTTTTAATAATTAATATAAAACTAATGGTTAAAATTAAATGATTAATAAGATGTTAAATTTTTAAATAAATAAAGAAAAATAAGTTTTTAATATATGATTAGTAATATTTTATCAAAAATAAATTTCAATATATATACAATTTTCAAAATAATATTTGTTTAAATAAATTCAAATTGTTATAATATATATATATATAATTTATTTTAAAAAGAAAAATAGATCCGCACAGACGTGCGGGTTCATCTCTAGTCTCTATTAAACTGAAACTTTATATTTTCATTTTTAAAATTTTAAGCATGTTTTGAAATAATGTATCCGCTCAAAAGTTAGTTAATTTAAAAGAATGTGTCTATTCAAAATATTTAACATTTCAAATTTTTTGAAGCAATCTCAACTAATGTGAAAGATTGTGTCTTTTATTTCAAAAAGTTTAATGATTCTTTTTTTTTAAAAAAAATATCTAAGGATGCAACTTTTCGTAATGATATATTTTTCAGCGTAAAATGCATTATTTCATAATAAAAGTTATAGGGATACATTGAAATATTGTAACCGTCATTAACAAACCATTGCAATTTCGAGTTATGAAACATTGTAATTGTTGGTTATTGTAACTTACGTATTGAGTCATTGCAACTTTTAAGGTTACCTATTGCAACCATTATCTAACGCATTCCGGCAAATGTTTATGACTAACTCAAATCCACATTAGTTTCTGATTATATAGCAAGATTATAGAATTTGGGAATGTTTCATCAGAAATCTCCCAGAAACATATATTCTCCGAGAAACATAGCTTGTTTCATGCAAACTTTTCCCAAAGACTTTCGGTCTTGTTTTGTAATCGGTTATGTTTTAATTTGAAAGCTTTTAGTAAAATAAAAAAGTTGGATGATTTCTCAGAAATTTCTGGAAAAGCAATGACGATTGCATATTCTCGGTAATTTCTATGAGATTAAAATTTGAATTTTTACAATTAGCCCCTTAACTTCTCTTTTTAACACAGGCCGTTATGTCTGGAGATTCACAGGTCATACTGGTGGTAGTGGAAGAAACGGTGACGGTAGAGACCGTGGAAACATGGTGCTTACGGTGACGTGGTGGAAGAAACGATGAACTTGGTGGGCCTGGTGGCCGTGGAAAAAATGGTGATAGTGGTGACTTTGGAATAATTATCGGTTGAAGAAACTATGACATTGGTGGCTGTGTAAAAAAATTGCCACAGTGGTGCCCGAGTTTGAAGAAACCGTGGCTGTGGTTGTTAAAGTGATTAATCAAAAAGTTAATCTTAAAATATAAAAATTGATAAAGAAAGAAATTTTTTTTTTCTGGATAAAGAAAGAAATCATGGGAGAAGAAAATGAGAAGATGTGAAAAGAGGAACGAGAAGAAATCAGAGAAGTTAAAAAATATATTAATTTAAGAATTGTATTTTTTTTCAAAAAAAAACGTATTTTTTAAAAAAGTTAAATTCTTGCATTAGTTTTAAGAATTGTATATTTTCATTAATGTCAAAGGTTGTGTTGTTTCATTTTAAAAATTATATTAATTGAAAATAAGCTATCAAATTCTTTAAGAATCCAAATAAATGTAAAAGAATAACTTTTTTACGAGAAAGAGTGTGTCTCGATAATCTAAATAAAATTCTACAGTTGCAACTTTCTATTACTATGAGTAGATATACACCTATTCATTTCTAACCGTGTAGTTTCTTAAACGTTGCATACGATAGTACTTGCATCTTTTTAATTTTATTTAAACAATCTTGGGTCAAAATTTTATACACAGAAGATGTAGTGCTCGATGTATGACGTGATCAAAGAGTTGTTTCCTCTACTGTTATGAATTTCACTGATCATAAAGTTGAAACTAACTCACATAAAAATCAGAAATGTTTACATACATTGTGGATAAAGTTAAAGCTGTTACTCACGGGTGGAAGCAGAAATTTTTATCACCAGGAGGGAAAGAAGTACTCTTGAAAGCTGTGGCCTTGGCAATGCCTATTTTCTCAATGAACATATTTCGTTTAACAAAAGAGATATGTGAGGAAATAAATGGTGTTCTAGCAAATTTTTGGTGGGGATCTGGAGATAAAAAAGGACTACATTGGTATTCATGGGATCGCATATGTACACCAAAGAGAGAAGGTGGGTTAGGCTTCAGAGATTTAGAGCATTTCAACCAAGCTTTACTTGCTAAGCAAGCATGGCGAATCCTGCAACACCCTGAATGTTTGATGGCAAGGGTACTTAAAGCAAGGTATTTCCCTCATGACAATATCTTAACAGCTACTATCAAGAGAAAATCGTCCTATGCATGGAAATCTATTATACATGGAGCACAATTACTAAAACAAGGAATGAGATTCATCATTGGTAATGGAGAGCATGTTGATCTTTGGGTAGACCCGTGGTTACCGGAGCATCCTCCAAGAGCACCAAGACCTAGGCAAATAGGAAATAATACTCAACGGGTTTGTGATCTATTCACTACTGATCGTAGGAACTGGGATGAAAACAGAGTCAGAGAGCTCATTCATGCTGATGATGTACAGAAGGTTCTTTCTATCAAAAT